ACATGAATATCCGAGGAGTTGCTAAGACTGTCGCTGCCAATAGTGTGGCCCCCGTCCTAAGCATTTTTTCGGAGCATTCACAAATTATAGAGGACTGTGTTGTGACTGTCGCTGCCAATGGCGTGGCCCCAGTCTTAGACATTTTTCTCGAAATTAGATAATTTCTTTCGCGTTGCTTCCATGCCTTCAAAAGGTGGACGAAGAGAAAAAGAGAAGAGATTAAGGTTCCAGATCAAAACAGCCTTTAATAAAAATCACGATCCTTTTCCTTATTTCGAAAAACTAGCGCGTCTACTAAACCATAATAAACCATTAGATCCATCTCCCGAACGCAAATATATCCTCAGCCTATTAGAAATTAACCTCACCTTTCCCAATTATAAAACCATCCGAAAAGGCGATCCACGCAGGCTCGCCTACAAACTTCGCGAACTCTTTGGGACCGGGTTCAAAGTCACCCTTCCTAAAAACTATCCTACCCTTCCTCCTGAACATTCCTAATCGCACATCCTGACCTCCAATCCCAGGGTAAATTGCTTAAATGCATTGACCCAAAAATAGGAGAGAATTTCTAAAACCACGACGTTCCGTAACAACCCTACCGAATGTAAATTCAACAAACAACAAGTTTTATTTCGACAATGAGGAAATTGTGATTCCCGAAGGATCGTACGAACTGCACGATATAGAGCGGTATTTGAAGCGCGAAATTTTACGTTCTCGTGGTGTAAAGAGTAAGGAGGACGAAGAGTTTCCGCTGGTGATTCTCGCCAACAACAATATGATGAAGAGTGAGATCAAATGCGCCTATTCGATAAATTTCACCAAACCTTACAACATTGGACCGCTATTGGGATTTTCATCGAATCGCGTGCTCGAACCACAACAGTGGCATGAATCAGACGTGCCGATAAATATCATCAATGTAAACATTATTCGTATCGAGTGCAACGTGACCGCGGGTGCGTACGGCAACGAAAAGTGCGTGCACACGATACACGAGTTTTCACCGATTGTCCCACCATGATATTAGATATCGGAAAGGCCGACGCAAATCAATTACCTTCCGATCGTCGTACGGAGCATTACGGATCTGACGATTTGCATGGTGGATCAAGACGGCCGATTGCTCGATTTTCGTGGAGAGGAGACTACCGTTAGATTGCATGCAAAAATTTTTCTATTTAAATAAATTTTTTTCATTTTGTTTTTAAATTAATTGTGATATAATTTTTTTAAAGAAGAATTAAGTCACTTGGTTTCGAATAGGAAGATCTTTTAATAAGAATACAAAGGCATATACTTAGGTTTCATTGTATGAAGATAAAGATAATTCCACTTAGATTTTACTTTTTAATTTAATGGAATTTAAATAATAGTACCATATGGGTTCTTAAAGATTAAAGGTACCACTTGTGTTTTACTCTTTAATTTGGTAGAATTTAACTTGGCGCCGACTGTTGATATCAAATCTTGTATACAAATGATAGATGACATTAAAATTAAGTAAGTAATGAGGTAGAATAACTTGGCGCCGACTATTGATATTAAATCTTTTATACAAATGATAAATGTCATTAAAATAAAGTAAGTAATAAGGTAGAATAACTTGGCGCCGACTATTGATATCAAATCTTTTATACAAATGATACATGTCATTAGAATTAAATAAATAAGGATAATGTCACGTAGATTTTTAAAGACGGTTCTACTAAATAGCAAATGTGATTGGTCAGTTTCACAGTCGATTAAGGGGGGAACCCCACTTGCAGCGCGAATAAATCGGTCATTTTCGTGAATTTTTAACGCAAACTACTAAACTTTTTTAAAAGATCAATATATCATCTTAAAGTACATACATTGAATACCTTTCAGTAATTTTTTTATTGAAAAATATTTCATGGTTGCTGTACAAATGGCTGTCAAAGAAAGTATGTTGAAATTTATACATTTTGCGGTGACCAACATTGCGACGCACAGGATCATCCGAAACACAAAATTTTAATGGGTTTAGTTAAATAACAACATAAACTAGTCTTTAATCGATGGATTTAAAGAAATAATCATTTTTGACAGAATGGCGGACAGTCAAAGTCAATGGTACGATATTCACTGAAAAAAAACGGTCGTCTTTTGGCTATAAAACGGGCAATTTTTTTCGAAAAATAAAATCGAACGATTAAAGACTACGTTTTTATGTATTGAATAAGCCTGCAAATTTTCAGAAAGATCGGATCAGTAGTTTCCGAGTAATTTTGGTCACCGATTTTAAAAATGCTATTTCGAGAAAAACGCGTTTAAAGTTTCAACTTCAGTTTACACGAAGAAAACAATTTTTTTCTTAAAACTTAGAGTCATCTATTCCGGGTTCATACAGTAGCTCTTCCACCGTTGATGCCGCTTCTAAAAATTCAATTTGCTACTGTCTTCTCTTCATTCGTCCTTCGCGAGCGCGGCAGACGGCAGACTAACTAGTTCTCTACGCAACGGATTCTTCTCTTTCAACGCTCATATCTCAGTCAATTTTGCTCGGATCGATTTGAAATTTTAAGGACGTATTCTCAGATATTTATACTTCAAAAAAATGCAAAAAACAAACAATCGATTTTTTTCAAAGTTACAAGTGGGGTTCCCTGATTAAGTAATTGACGTTGGTGAAACTGGCCCAAATGGTTTTTTGACCAGCAGCACCCACTCTTAGCGCTTTTTTCTACCTTTTTTTTAAAAAGGTAAGTTTATATATACATACAAATGATACATGTCATTAGAATTAAATAAGTGTAAGGATGGTTACAAATGATACATGTCATTAGAATTAAGTAAATAAGGATAATATCACGTAGGTTAAGGTTGAATAACTTGGCGCCGACTATTGACATCAAATCTTTTATACAAATGATAAATGTCATTAAAATTAAGTAAGTAATAAGGTAGAATAACTTGGCGTCGACTATTGTTATCAAATCTTTTATACAAATGATACATGTCATTAGAATTAAGTAAGTAAGGATAATATCATGTAGGTTTTTAAAGATGGTTCTACTAAACAGCAAATGTGATTGGTCAGTTTCACAGTCGATTAAGTAATTGGCGTTGGTGAAACTGGCCGAAATGGTTTTTTTTACCATCAACACCCACTCTTAGCGCTTTTTTCTACCTTTTTTTTTAAAAAG